CTGCAGGGCCAGCAACGTCACGAAGCCAGTTTCAGTACCAGATACTCGTACCACAGGCCCTAAGGTTATGGCCATAAATCAGTACCACTGAGTTAAGTGCCATACCATTCGATCGATCACCGTGACCAGATAGATTGTGTCRTGCCTGTAGCYGARCGAGCAATTGTGCCAATACAACGGTGACACCCACRCAGTGTACAGACCCGGTGTTCAGCCAGTGATCATGCCTAAATAGCTGTGCCGGTTCGGCAGCAACYGTGCGAAACYAGTATTTGTACCAAAAGAATATCTCCGGATCACCATGAGTCTCGCCAATGCTTGATCAGCGACCGCATCGAAAAATAATGAACCGCGAACCAAAAATCGTGCCAACCAGCACCAGTACTGTGCCTGTACCAATCAGTCCCCATACCGAATCCATACCAGRTACTGAATCAGTGACCGTGTGCCATCCTTGTTCCGGRCCGGCAACTGTGCCATACCAGTCCGGAATACCGTGCAGTGCCGTCACGTCAATACCAAACAAATGGCCGCACCGTTGTCAGGGATGGTTCAATACTGAACCTGTAGTACYGTTGCTGAAACAATATCTGAAAATAATGCAATGGCGTGTACCATACCGTTGCCGAACCAATACRGAGCCTGAAAATGTTGATACCGTGCAATACCGCGGCCTCTCGGGAGTATCAAACCATTACCATGCCAATACCGAACCTGAMTAGTCTGCACCATACCGGCGTCGAGTCTGTCCCGAACCTGAAAACTAATGCCAGTCCGCTGTATCGTGTCAACGCCGGACCGTGCAGCCATGTCATATTAGTCCCGAACCTGCCCCAAGCCTGACTGTCGGGCCCGAACCAAACTAGCAACCGCACAAAGTATAGTAAAGCCACACGATCCATCTCAAAATAATCCCAGTAACCATGCTGCGTTGATCATCAAACGCACACCCACTCATATCACACAGGTTGCAGCGAGGCTAAGTCAGGTAACTCACGCAAACGATCCCCATTACCGGGAATTAGAGAAAATCGTTAGGTTTAGAGTAAATAAATAATCCGGGGGTAAATCCGATCGCAATTAATCTGATCAAAATTCAGTCGATTATTTAATAATCATTGGTCTTCTTCCTTTTTATCATTTTTAATTATTTTTCTCATTTTTTTTTTTTTGATTTTAATATTAAAATTAATGAAACCCGAGGCTTCATTCCCGTGCCAGTTGCGCCGCATAAAAAGGGACCACGCCTAGGCCTATTCTCATATCACCGTTCTGCGGCCAGTTGTTTCGGAAACAAGCTCGGAGCGGCGGAAATAAGATAGACGCCAGCGCGGTAGGAGAGGTAGTCTCTCTCGCCAATTCTGAGGGCTAGTCTCACCGATCGACAGCTCCAATCTTAGGGTGCTCTGGGTCCCCCTAATTTTGCTGCCTGGTCAAACCAGAATACCGTCATTGCACGGACTTGTCCTTGCGCCTAAGTTCCAAGACTGCCACTTTCAGGCGGCCCACTACTTGTGGCCGCCTGACAGCGTGTCGGTTCTCATAGTCCCGGATCTGCCGTTGATGCGTCAGATCTACGGCCCTTTGTCATCTTCGGGATAACGCGGGATAGGTCGTGGCCATCAGATCCAAGTAATGCTGGGCCTTATCCTTGTGTTGGGCCCGGGTCGCTCTAACTTTCGTACCCACTAGAGGTGACAACTGCACTCTGGGGACGCTATTGGTTCTCAGTTGGAACGGGGACACCCCGGTGCTCCCGTGGGGAGTAGCCCGATAGACAGCCAAAATGTGGTCGACGGACCTGGTATCACCTG